CAGTTCGGTTATGGCGCACTCACACCTTTTTGGCTGCCTGCCTGCAGGTTACCATGGCAACGCACGAGTGTGAGTGAGACAGAAAATTTGAATATTCAAATTTTTAAATTTTCTGTTGCACTCACTTTCATGCGTTGCCATGGTAACCTGCAGGCAGCCAAAAAGGTGTGAGAGCGCCTTTATGTGACATTTCAAATGTCAGGTGGGTTAAGGCCTAAGCACAATGGAAACGTAACCGGCATCGTAATAGCAATCGCAAACGGAAGAATTGAACCGCCGGATCGTAGAAGGGCATACGCGTGAAATCCAGCGCTTTAAGTTGGCCCCTGACATGAAAAAAAAAATTTTTTAATTTTGATTTTTGAATATTATATCCTTGTAGAGAATAAAATTACGCAACTTTTTTTTCAATAAAGTTTTTTCTTAAAGTGAATTGTTTTCAAAATAATTGCAAAAAACTTGATTTTTTTATACCGTAATATTTCATTCAATTTTATGTTCAACTCGTCATAAATCCGAAGTTTTTTGACTTTTTAACTTCAGATTTGGAGGATTTACTCATCAAAGTGTCCCAAAAGTGTTAGATGAACAATAAATAAATTAAAATAATAACTACCATTTTTATTAATTTATTTATGTTAAAGGACAAAAAAAATTATTTAATACTTTCAAATGAAAAAAGTCTGTGACGAACTTTCGAATTGGAAAAACTTCCAGTGGAAGAATTGTTTATAATAGTTCAATAATGTTTTTCCAAAAGGTTTTAAACTAATTTGATTAAACATTTAGAATTTATAATAGTTTTACTTTTTGGTACGCCGCGCGTGGACCGGCCGTGAGTATAGTAATAGTGGCGTGATGCTTTATATCCTGGATATTTACTTATTGTAAAGACGTACGTAAAAACTATTTTCTATAGACACTCAACAATATAGGAATAGCTATGTTTATGTTTACAAATAGAGGACGGACTGGGTAAAAGAACATAGCGAGAGAAAAACATCAAAAACTTTAAAATAATACATATTGAATTTGAAACATTAATAAAATATAATACATACAAAAAATAAAAATTATATTTTTTAAAAATTGTTTAAAAATGTATATTCAAAAATATTCAAATAATTTTTTAAAAACTAAAAGTCTTTACAATAAGTAAATATATAAAGCATCACGCCACTATTACTATACTCCATAGAGATAATATAAATAGAGTGGAGATGGTCTGTATAGAGGCGTCCGTTTGATAGAAAGAGAACGCAATTTTAGCACCAGTAGGTGTCTCTCTTGCGCTGGTGCTTATTGAAGGACAGATACTGGTGTTAAATCTTTCTTCTCTTTCCAACCCATTCTGTTTATGTCAGGACACTTCCCTCTTACGCAGCCGCCTATACCTTGTCTACTCTATTTATATTATCTCTATGCTATACTCACGGCCGGTCCACGCGCGGCGTACCAAAAAGTAAAACTATTATAAATTCTAAATGTTTAATCAAATTAGTTTAAAACCTTTTGGAAAAACATTATTGAACTATTATAAACAATTCTTCCACTGGAAGTTTTTCCAATTCGAAAGTTCGTCACAGACTTTTTTCATTTGAAAGTATTAAATAATTTTTTTTGGCCTTTAACATAAATAAATTAATAAAAATGTTAGTTATTATTTTAATTTATTTATTGTTCATCTAACACTTTTGGGACACTTTGATGAGTAAATCCTCCAAATCTGAAGTCAAAAAGTCAAAAAACTTCGGATTTATGACGAGTTGAACATAAAATTGAATGAAATATTACGGTATAAAAAAATCAAGTTTTTTGCAATTATTTTGAAAACAATTCACTTTAAGAAAAAACTTTATTGAGAAAAAAGTTGCGTAATTTTATTCTCTACAAGGATATAATATTCAAAAATCAAAATTAAAAAATTTTTTTTTTATGTCAGGGGCCAACTTAAAGCGCTGGATTTCACGCGTATGCCCTTCTACGATCCGGCGGTTCAATTAGTAAGAGAAGAACAACAATATATAACTATCTTTCTCTAACTCATTCTTCCGTTTACGATTGCGATTGCGGTGAACGGAAACGTAAGAATGGGTGAGAGAAGAATAAAGATATTTGCTATCTTTCTCTTACACATTCTTACGTTTCCGCTTACGATTGCGTTCCCGTTCAAGAATCTATTCTGCTGAGGCCTTTAATGACATTTCTGTTACATGTCAGGTCGGTTAAGTGACAATTCTGTTGAATGTCAGGTTGGTTAAACGACAATTCTGTTATATGCGTTTCGGTTAAATATCGATTGGGGAATATTCATGCGCCCCTTTGATTCCACTTTCACTATTTAGAAAGATTAACATTATGAAAATAAAATATTTTCCAGAGCCAATCAAATTCAGTGATTCGACCACGAAAACTCATCGTTCATCGAAAACTGTATAAAAACACCTTAAAGGTGCTTTTATACCTCCAGTATTTTGGTCAAGCAATCGACTGGATTGAATTTTCACGGAGAATCACTGAATTTGATTGGCTCTAAAAATATTCAATTTTCACGGTGGAAATGGAATATTAGTCAGAGCCAATCAAATTCAGTGATACAACCGTGAAAATTCAATCCAGCCGATAAGGTTATTCAAGTTGGGTGGGGGAAAGCCAAGATGGATTTCCCCCACCCAACTTGAATAACCTTATTGCTTTACCAAAATACTGGAGGTATAAAAGCACCTTTAGTCACGGTCACAGCTCGGACATGATTAAAGACGTTTGCGGGAACTTACATATCCCGTATCTGACTTGCGTACCCGACCCAGTTGTGCTTAGGCCTTTAAGGGTACGGTCACACGACTTTTGGAAAAACCATTCTTGTCTTTCTCTCTCCTATTACAGACGCATAAGTTTGTCTCACTCTGCATTTTCCGTCTTTGGGAAATGTAAGAAAATGCAGAGTGAGACAATCTTATGCCTCTGTCTTAGGAGAGAGAAAGACATGAATGGTTTTTCCAAAAGTCGTGTGACCGTACCTTAAGGCCTGAGCAGAATTAACCGGAATCGTAATCGCAACCGGAAGAATGAGATAGAGAATGATAGACATATATTTGTCCTTCTTTAACTCATTATTCCGGTTGCGTTTGCGGTTACGATTCCGGTTACGTTTCTATTCTGCACAGGCCTTCACGGGGGTGGAGTTATAGGGCAAGCGCAGTAGCGTTTAGATAGGGTTATTAGATTGTTCAAGTTGGGTGGGTGGAAATCCAAAATGTCGATTAAGTGGTGCACAAAGAAAGATTATAAATGTACGGGATAAAGTCGATTTTTTTTAATATCTGGCTTAAATGAAATTTTTAAACTTAAGTGTATTAGGATTTTAGTTTCTATTTTTAGTGATCTATTTAATACAATAATAAAACACGATTTTATTTAATAAATTTTATTATTGTATTAATTAGGTCACTAAAAATTTGAAACTAAAATCCTAATATACTTAGGTTCAAAAATTTCATTTAAGCCAGATATTTAAAAAAATCGACTTTATCCCGTACATTTATAATCTTTCTTTGTGCACCACTTAATCGCCATTTTGGATTTCCCCCATCCTACTTGAACTACCTAAGGTCGTTTTCGAATTGGGATTTTTGTCGCACTTTTGATAAAGTGTATACTCGGAAAGTATGCAGTGTCCTTGTTTTTCCGTGCGAAAAAAGGGACATTGCATGCTTCCCGAGTATACACTTTATCAAAAATGCGCAAAAAATCCCAATTCGTATTTCTTTAATTAACACGATAGAAAGAGAAATAAAAACCAAAATGTCTGACGAAGTAGGTAAAAGTCACTAGACCGCCAATTCCACTGTGATTTCACCTTTAAGACGCTCTCACACGTTTTTGGCTACCTGCCTGCCTGCAGGGTCGTTTCCGAATTGGGATTTTTATCGCATTTTTGATAAAGTGTATACATACTTGGGAAGTATGCAGTGTCCTTTTTTTCGCACAGTAATGGAGCGGTCACACCTCGCCTGCAGGAGCAGTTGCCAATGGCAACCGAGTAAGAGTAAGAGAGATGGAAAATCTTCTATCTCTCTTACTCTTACTCGGTTGCTATGGGCAACTGCTCCTGCAGCCAAGGTGTGACCGCTCCATAAAACAAGGACACTGCACACTTCCCGAGTATACACTTTATCAAAAGTGCGCTAAAAACCTGAATTCAGAAATGGCCCAGGAGTTGTCATGGCAACGTGCAGGAGTAAGGGAGAGAAAATTTGAATTTACTCTCTCTATTACTCCTATACGGAAGCTTCTACTCGCCACCTCGTAACGAGGCGAAACCATCTTATGCTCGTTTCATATTTAGCATACAAAATATTAAAAATATTAAAGTAAATGAATAAATATAAATTTATATACAGGGTGTTCAAAAAGTTGCAAGTTTCCATAGTTCTTGAACATCCTGTATATATTTAAACATAACCTTATATAAAAATGAATCTACATATAATATTATTTTATATTATATAAAAACACAAGAATCCAACTTACTTTAAAATAACGATATTCTCTATATTTAAAATTAAAAAATTTACTCAAATTATTCAACGTAAGAAATATTTTATCTTATAATGATTTTTTAATGAGTAATATCGAACCACCGAGCCATCGAACCAACTTGTGTGTTCTTTACGACAAGAACATTGATGGAGCGGTCACACTTCGGCTGCAGGAGCAGTTGCCCATGGCAACCGTGTAAGAGTAAGAGAGATAGAAGATTTTCCATCTCTCTTACTCTTACACGGTTGCCATTGGCAACTGCTCCTGCAGGCGAGGTGTGTCCGCTCCATGAAACATTGATGATGTTCTGTATGCTAAATATGAAACGAGCATAAGTTGGTTTCGCCTCGTTACGAGGTGGAGCGTAGAAGCTTCCGTACTCCTATCCGTTGCTATGACAACTCCTGCAGTCAGGTAGGCAGGCAGCCAAGAGGTGTGAGAGTGCCATTAAAGAAAGAGATAGTTATATAACTGTTCTTATTCCTTCTCTAACTAATACTTCCGGTTTGCGTTCCACTTGGAGAATCTATTCTGTGTTTGCTTTAACACAGCCTTTTTTCAGCCATTTTGGTTAATAGAAGACGATATTTTCAAAGTTCTATCTTAAAATAAAAAGTTTTTAAGGTAGGAGGCATTATTTTTTAATTCTTTTACAAATTTTTTAACTAAATATTTTTTGAAATTTATCATAAATTCGATTATTGAAGTCTTATGATCCAGAGGGGTTTATTTTATCATTTTTCTTGTGCCGCATTTTTTTTCAGAAACACGTGGCTTTGACAGTGTTTACAGCTCAATTATTCATAAAATAATAATTTTAATAGTTTCAAAATGTTAGTTTTCTAATAAATTATTTTATTTAACATTGAATTCATATTTTAAGTTGTAGATAATAAAAACGAGATTTTAATTTTAAGGTTATACATTGTTTGTAATTCAATGCTGCCTTCTGGTTTCTTAACAGTTCCTTGCATATAATTACTGATTTTTTAATTAGTTTTTACCATTTATACAATAGTTATAAAAAGTTTGTTATTATAAAATCATTTTAAAATAATTTTTTTAAGTATAATAATATCTAGTCATGATTAAATTGTTATTTTCTAGATGCCTTCTGTTACTTTGAAAGACGTCGATCAACATGAATTCGTCAAAACATTCGCCAGTTTCTTAAAAAAGTAAGTGTATAAACTCATTTTTCTTAACGCTTTAAACGATCGTTTGTTTAATATTTTATATTACCTCACGTTTCAAAATTTTTATTAATATTTAGTAATTTATAAAAAAAAAATATTTCAATAAGTCTTATTAATTCTACAAAAACAAACTACCCATTACATTCACATAGAGGAAAAAATTAATATTAAAATTATTTAATTTTACACGGTTAAATATTACAGCAGAAAATTGCACAATTTATTTTTACACAGAAAATAAATTATTATCATTTTGTTTATTTAATTTTTAACTACGCACTAAAATTGAAACCAGAAAATTGTACAAAATTAAAGAAATTTTTAATAAATAATTTTTTTTTAAATTCTTTGCAAATAAATTCTACGAAGGAAAATACTATGCATTAAAATTAAATATGTTACTAAATTAATCTTTATAATTCTGCACAGTTAAATTTTACACAATTTATTTTTATACACGAAAAAAATTTAAATCATTTCATTAATTTAATTTTTAACTCTATAAATTTAAATCGAACACTAGGAAATTCTATACAAATAAATTCAACAAATGGAAAACTTTACGCATTAATAATAAATAAAATAAAACGTTTTTAATATTAGAAATTTTTAACTCTCTCTTTCTCTCTCTTAAACTTTTGATAAAAAATGAAAAAACAAAAAATTGTAAAATAGACCAGTTGCCTACACGTCTGTGAAGAGTTTAAGTGCTGAAATTTAAAAATTTTTTATATTAAAAAATTAAAAACATTTAGTAAAACGTTTTATTTTATTTATTATTAATGCGTAAAGTTTTCCCTTTGTTGAATTTATTTGTATAGAATTTCCTAGTGTTCGATTTAAGTTTGTAGAGATAAAAATTAAGTTAATGAAATGATTTAAATTTTTTTCGTGTATAAAAAAAAAATTGTGTAAAATATTCTGCTATAGTATTTAACTGTGCAGAATTATAAAGATTAATTTAGTAATATATTTTTGATTTTAATGCATAGTATTTTCCTTCGTAGAATTTATTTGTATAAAATTTTTCAAAAAAAATTATTCATTAAAAATTTCTTTAATTTTGTATAATTTTCTGGTTTCAATTTTAGTGAGTAGAGTTAAATATTAAATAAACGAAATGACTATAAATTTTATAGTTTAACATTTAACATTAAATGAAACTTTTTTTTTTCTTGTTGAATTGTGCGTAGAATTTTTTTAAAAACTTATTTGTTCAAAATTTATTTAATTGTGTAGTTTCCTGTCATTTACTTTAAAGATGAAGAGTTAATAAAATATTTAATTTTAATGCGTAGTCTTGTAGAATTTATTTCTGTGAAAAAATTTATTGACTTATTTGACCACTTTTTATGACCTTAATATTTTCTTTTTCAACCTCATGTAAAAAGATAATATCTATCTATGATGTATTCCACTCCAAAGTGTAAGTCCATCTGCAATTGCATTTCCGATTTTAAAAAAAAAAAAAATTTTCTTTTAGTGCTAATTGAGACTAGCTTCCATGAATTTTTTCAACTTTTTTTAGCAAGCCGTTTTCGAGTTATGGAATTTTGAAAATTGGAGAATTTTCATGACTTTCAATTTTTGAATGCTCATAACTTCCTTAAAAATGCATCAATTTTAAAAGTCTTTTTTTTTAAACTGTGTGTTTTTAAACGTACTTTTCAACAAAAAAATCGAAATTTTTTTTTAAACGATATTACTATCAAATTTTTGAGTTTTAATGATAAAAAGTCATTTTTCTCATTTGACGTACTGATCGATTTTTTTCAAAAAATTTTCAATAAAACTACTTCTTATTATGAAACTTTTAAGCCTAGCCCGATAATGGACAAACAATTTTTACAATATTTTCAGAATTTTACAAAAATTTTTGAATTTTGAATTTTTTAAAAATATTTTTGTTTTTTATACTTCGTACTTTTATGTATTTTGATGCACTGTTTACGAAAATCATAGTAACAGTACCCAAAAATTTGATTTTTATGGTGAAAACCATAAAAAAGTCAAAATTTATGGTTTTTTTCGTTTATTGGGAAAAATATGCAAAATTAAAAAAAAACTTTCAAACAAAAGTTATAGATCTTGTTAAAATACATTTTTTTATCTTATGCATTTTTTTTTAATTTTGCATATTTTTCCCAATAAACGAAAAAAACCATAAATTTTGGGATTTTTTTTATGGTTTTCACCATAAAAATCAAATTTTTGGGTATTGTCACTATGATTTTCGTAATCAGCGCATCAAAATACATTAAAGTACGTAGTATAAAAAAAACGAAAATATTTTTAAAAAATTCAAAATTCAAAAATTTTTGTAAAATTCCTAAAATATTGTAAAAATTGTTTGTTTATTATTGGGCTAGGCTTAAAAGTTTCATAATAAGTAGTAGTTTTTTTGAAAATTTTTTGAAAAAATCGATCAGTACGTCAAATGAGAAAAATGACTTTTTATCATTAAAACTCAAAAATTTGATAGTAATATCGTTTAAAAAAAAAATTTGGATTTTTTTGTTGAAAAGTACGTTTAAGAACACACATTTAAAAAAAAAGACTTAAAATTGATGCATTTTTAAGGGCAGGTCAAAGTCGAAGCAATTTTTACATAGATCTTCAGTGGAAAAATCGCATCGACTTTGACCTGCCCTTAAGGAAGTTATGAGCATAGTTGCCCCGTGGTTGAAAAAGTTTAGCGCATCGTCCGTTTTTGCATGTGTCCCTCAATTATTTTTAATAAAATATATATAAGTTTTCTAACTTTATTTTGTATGTTCGAACTTACCTTCTTTTCATACCTCAAAATAAAAATATTTTTTTTCAAGCTCAGTTCTAATACATTTTTTCTTGAATGTATAATATCCAGCGAGTTCTAAACCTAAATTATTGATTCTTAAAACTGAATCTTTCTCTACTGTGAATTAGATGAATAAAAATAAAGAATTGTGAAGCTTTCGTTTAGTAATAATTTCTAATTGTTTTTCTAGGACAGGAAAGGTAAAGTGCCCCGAATGGGTTGACATTGTGAAATCAGCCCGTTTCAAGGAATTGGCACCTTATGATCAAGATTGGTTCTACATTCGGTGTGCTGCTGTAGTGCGTCACATTTACATTCGCAGCCCAATTGGTGTAGGTGCCGTGACAAAAATTTTCGGTGGACGTAAACGAAATGGAACACACCCAAGTCATTTCTGTCGATCGGCTGGTGGAGTCGCCAGAAAAGTCTTGCAAACTTTAGAATCACTGAAATTAATTGAAAAATCGCAATCAGGTGGTCGCGTGCTCACTAGTGCGGGTCGCAGAGATCTTGATCGTATTGCTGCACAAATTAAAGCCAAAAGTAAGAAGCAAATGAAGTTACAAGAAACACTTGTTTTATAAGTTGTGCATTGTAATAAATACATTTAAAAAAGTTGTATGTGGTTTTTTTTTTAATTTTTAAAGCTTCTTTTTTATTGTTAATTAATAATGGAGTTTTTTTTTGTTTTATAATTTAAAAATTTGTCAATAATAATAAACGATAAGATACAATTTTTTAAAATTTTCAATAAATATTCATTTTTAGTCACAATTTCATAGCGATGTTTCGTTGGAATAGATTGACGAAATTTAATCAATTAAATTTCAATCCATCGAAATTAATTTTGTTTAGGGTTGTCGATTTTTTTCTTGACAATGTTGAGTATTTTTTTTTTTTTTAATTTTGCATATTTTACCCAAGAAACGAAAAAAACCGTAAATTTTAGGAATTTTATAGATTTCGCCATAAAAATTAGATTTTCAGGTACCTATTGTTATTATAATTCTCGTAGGCCTCGGATTATCTGACTTTTTCGAATTTTTTTACATTTTTTTTACAAAATTTTTAAACAAAATACGTCTTTTTTAGTATACATACAATGCAGATCTTCTTTATTTCCATTATTTATCAAATTTTCCTCTAAATTAATTATTTTTAATAATTTTAATTCAATTTAAATAAATTAAATAAAATTACCAAACATTTTAATTTAAAATATTTTAAAATTTAATTATTATTAAAATTTTCCATCTAAAACTTTCTGAAATTTAATAATTTTAATTATAACTTTTCCAAAGTTCAATTATTTTCAATAATTTTAATATTTCTTTAAAAATTAAATTATTTAAAAATGTTTCAAATAAAAACTCTAAAATTGAATTGTTTTCAGAATGTTTTTTTTAGAAATTTGTCCTACTAAATTAAAATGAGGAATTAATAAAATGGATTTAATATCGAACAAAATTAGTTATTTAAAATACTTATTAACTAATTAAATTTAATTTAAAATAAAAACATCGACTTTTTCAACTTTTTTTGGAATGTAAATCGACTAAAACGACTTTTTTGTGTCTTAAAGTCGATCCGAGGCCTGTTCTCGTAATCAGCGCACCAAAATACCTAAATAATGCAAAATGATGACTGATTTGGCGTGCAGTACATCAGATATAAAATAAAAATATATAAAGTCCAGGTTAAAAGTTCGAAGTTATTGTTATAGTAGATGAATTATTTTAGCAAGTTGATACATTGTTTAAAAAAATCAGTATTAGTTGTGCGTTATTAGGGTTCCGTACCCGAAGGGGGAACCCTATTAATATCGGTTTTTTTGAAATCGTGTACCTCCCCCCCCCTAGCGGCCACACGAATTTATCTAGAGGGCTGAAATTTGATACACATAAGTATTTTGGCGTGAAGATTACAGGAAAAATATAGCGAATCTCATAGAAATTGATTATCATAGCGTTGTCAAGGAAAAACCATGAATTTTTACGAAAAATTACTAAAAATGACTATGTATCCCCCCCCCCTGGGGGTTACATCTCTTTACATAGAGAGCTCAAATTTGGTACACTTACGTATTTTTACATGAAAATTACAGGAAAAATATAGCGAACATGATTCGGATCAATTTACATAGCATTGTCAAGGAAAAATCAAAAATTTTGTAAAAAAGCGTTTAATCCACCTAGTGCACACACTATTTGACCAAGACAGTTCATATTTGGTATACATGCGTATTTTTGCGTGTAGATTACAGGAAAAATATAGCGAGCTTGATTAGAGTTGAAGATCTTATTGTTTTTAAGGAAAACTCATATTTTTAGAAAAAATCATTGATTTTTCGAATAAAAACTAGGTGTTCATTTCATAACCATTTAGCTTCCTCATCATGATACACTTATACTCAAGATTAAAAGAAGGATTACAACTAAAATAGCGATCAATTTTATAAATATTAGTAAAATGTAAATTCTGTATACCTCAATCGATTCATTTTTAGGCCAGGAATACAATTTTGACAAGAATTAATTAAATTTTTTATATCAGAAAAAGTTATTTCAAAAAATACAAAAAACGATTATTTTCAAAAATTCAAAAAAATGATTTAATCTATAGATTTCAGTAAAATATGAACTTTATATGGACTAATCGACACGTTTTAATGCAAGAAATAAGTTTTTTTACTAAACAAAATTAAATTTACAAAGAAAAAAATATTTTGAAAAATTTTTTTTTTAATTTTGAAAAAATTGTAAAAAATAAAATGTTGTGAATATATTTGGAAATCCTTGTGTCAGATTTTAGGTATTAATGATTACAATAAGCATACAAAATTTCAGGACAATCCATTAAAACGTTTCTGAGATAATTTGTACAGAATATTTTGTGACATACACACACACATATGTACATCTGGACATTTGCTCAAAACTTCATATATATTATTTCTAGATGAAAATGAGTCCATATAACCCAATTTTAAAAAATCGAAAAACGTCACGAATGCAAAGCTTCCTCATGAGGAAGCAAAAGAGGAAAATTTTATCTTAAGGGATTCAAATTTATACATTTTTACGTATTTTCACGTGTAGATTACAAAAAATATATAGTGAGCACGATTTGAATTGATTATCATAGCGTTTTCAAGGAAAAACTGATCGATCGATCTATGTATTCCCATGCTCACATTACAGGAAAAATTAAGCAAAATTGGAATTTTTCCATCGGCCTTCACACTATAAACCCCTTAAATTTTAGGTTTAGGGGTACGGAACCCTCTGTTTTAATGCGAGTGTAATTCGCACTTGTCCGATTTTGTTTCATTAAAAAGCTTGTTATTTAGTGGGAAAAAATTATGAATACATATTTTGTCCGACCTTCCACGAATACATATTTCATTCTTGAACACTAGGGTGCTCATAAAAATAAAAAATAAATTTATTTCAAACCCTACCCAACATTTTTTTTTCCTTTTTATGAATAAAGATTATAGGATCTATTTTCCTAGATTTTTTAAAAATGATTTAGAGGTCGCGACAAGCTGTAATAGATTTAAAACACGTTTTTTTTGGTTTTTCATGTTTTAAACGTATAATCTTGAATAATAAAAATTATTTCTTCTCAGTTATTACTTCAAATTTATCGCTGAATTATCTAAAAATTATTAATAGAAAAAAAATTGTTTGAAGCCACCAAAGTCACTGAAATGCACGAATTTGTTAATTTAACAGTTATAAAGTACAAAATAAATTCTTTGACCGTTCTTTATGAAGTTCAGGAAAATTATATATTATTTTGGTGTAATAATAATTAAGTTGTTTTCATAGGGAAGAGTGGGGAGTTGTGCACCGGGTTTTATTTTTCGATCAAAACTATTATATAAATTTTCTTTTAACTATTCTATTATGTAGAACTTTTAGTACACGTACAAATAAAACTTTTGGCATGATCGATTAATTAAAATTCAAAACGGAAAATTTTGCTTCCCGGTAAGAAGCGAAGAATCGAAAAGAATTCAGAATCTGAATTCCTTTGAATGGGTGATTTTACGTTTTTATTCAATTCCTCGATGAAGCAAAAAAAAGTAGAAAAATCTATTCTTCTTAATTGACTTGGCCAAAATTTATACTCTAAATTATACATGTAACCTGACGCAGTCAATTGCAAGGCATAAATATACCTCATTTAATCTACAAATTTTCTATTCCTCTAAATACGCTCCTGATGTCATGACACAGTCAATTAAAAGGAATAGATATATCCACTTCACTCTCCAAATTTCTTATTCCTTTCAATGCGCTTCAGAAATTTTGATACTGTCGATTGAAAGGAATAGATATTTAAAATTTACTCTCCAAACATTTAATTTTTCTTTATTCACTACCAAAAATTTGAAAATATTAAACTTTGCGCATTAAGAAGAATAAGAAGTCTGAATTCTTTTCTATTGACTTAATATGTACTGGGAATAGAAAAAAATAGAAAAAATGATTATTCATCTCTCAATCTTGGATTTTCCGACGAGTTGACTCTGAGACTCGAACCCTCGACCATCATATCTCTCAACCGCACTGGGAGCGCCTTAACGCGCTCGACCAGGGGAGGTTATAAAATTTTTTGAGAAAATGTCTTATAATGAACACATTAAACAGATACATATATTATTTTGTTAAGTCATCAAACAGCTTTTCAGATGTTCATTATTACAAAGAGTATATTATCGTATATATATTTTTATGAACATTAATGATATTAATTAATAATTTTGTCAATTTAAATAGTTTTAAATGATTAATTGTGTTAATAAATAAAAATTATATTTTTTTTTTTCTTAAGCTTAAGCTTATGGAAATATTTCCATATAATATAAATAAATAGTTCAGGTCTCATATATTGACTAATATTATTAAAATTCTATTTTACAGAATATTCAAGTATAAAAATAATTTCCCGGTAAGAGGCGAATAATTGAAAAGAACTCAGAGTTCCAATTCTTTTGAATGGGAGCATTTACGTTTTTATTCAATTCCTCGATGAAGCAAAAAAAAGTAGAAAAATCTATTCTTCTTAATTGACTTGGCCAAAATTTATACTCTAAATTATATACATATTATTCTTAACAACCTGACGCTGTCAATTGTAAAACATAGAAATGCCTCATTTATTCTCCACATTTTCTATTCTGAATGCGGTCCAAAATGCGACATTTAAAATTTACTCTCCAAACATTAAATTTTTTTCTATTCGCTTCCAAAAGTTTGAAAATAAGAAACTTCGCGCAATAAGAAAAATAAGAAGCCTGAATTCTTTTCTATTGAGTTATCTCTACTGTGAATAGAAAAGAATTTATTTTTTATATATTTTGATGTTGAATGAGGAATTGAGTAAAAACGTAAATTCACCCATTCAGAAGAATTGAAAATGATCAACTAGTTAAATTAGTTAGTAATTAATTATTACTTATATTCTTTTAAAATCTTAAAATTTATATTCATTTTCTTTCGCTTCTTATAATATTTAAAAAAAATTGAAATGATTAGGAATTATTAATATACTCGCCAGTTTTTTCATTCCTTTCAATACACTTTTAGAAATCTGACGCAGTCGATTGCAAGAAATAGAAATATTTAATTCATATTACAAAATTCCCATTCCTCTGAATACGGTCCTAAAAACTTGACTCAGGCGATTGCGAGGCATAGAAATACTGAATTTATACCCTAAATTTCCTATTCCTCTGAATATGCTCTTAAAAACCTGACGCAGTCAATTGCAAGGCATAAAGATACCTCATTTAATCTAAAATTTTCTATTCCTCTAAATACGCTCCTGATTCCTCTAAATTCCTCCTTGACACAATCAATTAAAAGGAATAGACATATCCACTTCACTCTCAAAATTTCTTATTCCTTTCAATGCGCTTCAGAAATTTTGATACTGTCGATTGAAAGGAATAGATATTTAAATTTTACTCTCCAAAAATTTAATTTTTCTCTATTCGCTACCAAAAATTTGAAAATATGAAACTTTGCGCATTAAGAAGAATAAGAAGTCTGAATTCTTTTCTATTGACTTACCTCTACTGGGAATAGAGAAGAATTCATTTTTCTGATATTTTGATGTTCAGTGAGGAATTGGGTAAAAACGTAAAATCGCCTATTCAGAAAAATTAAAAATTCTTAACTTCTGCTCTATGTCTGCAAACTTTCAATTTTTCTCTATTCCTCGCTTCTTACCGGGTTGTTTTTCGAAAATACTGGTTTTAAGAATTTTCAAAAAACGTGGGGAATTGTGCTCCACCGTTAAAAATTGAAGAAAAAAACATATTTGTTAGAATATTTTTTATTTAAATTAAGAAATGTGAAAAAGTAAGATAACTTACATAAAATAAAGTAATAGATAAGATAATGAAAGATTAATTTTAGATAATTTAGATAAAATTAAATTATTTTGAAAATAATTGAAATAAACTAGGTTATTAATTTCATTAGCAGTGAATACAGATGTAAAAAGTTTCATTTGAGCCGCTGGATTCTAGAAGGACACGTACATTTTTTCGGCCGGAAAACGAAGTTCCCCTGGACACTCAAAATTCATTTTTCGAATTTTAATATTTTTCAAGTATATTCTTATACAGAATTCGATTGCGCATCTTTTTTTCTTCATAAAAAACTTTCCATCTTTTTCCGGTTTCGAAATATAAGAGAAAAACTGGTATTTTGGAAACGTAAAATTTATTTGTTTTTTGACTTCAACTCGCGCTAGCTCAGTCAATTTTACTAGTTTTTCAATGAAACAAAAACGAAAATACGTGTTATTATATCATACGAGTAACTAAAAAAGAAAAAAATTGTTTTGTTTATAAATAAAAAAGTTATTAATTTTTTATTGAGACATTGCGAACTTCGTGAAGTGCAATTTTCTCAATGCGGAGAAGTTGGACAAATTTTCAGCAGCAACAAACTTCCAGTGAGAAACTTGTTCATTAAGGTCCAAAAAAGTTTTCTGGAAAGTTACAATGCAATTGGACAATTAATAACAAAATGGTGAATGTTTAAACTTTAAAGTTGCGCGAGCGGCTGAACGTTTGGCTCGATTGTATTATTACGTAGCAAACGCATTAAAAAATTAAATTTTACGTTTCCAAAAAACCAGTTTTTCTCTTATATTTCGAAACCAGAAAAAGATGGAAAGTTTTTTATGAAGAAAAAAAGATGCGCAATCGAATTCTGTATAAGAATATGCTCGAAAAATATTAAAATTCGAATAATGAATTTTGAGTGTCCAGGGGATTTCGTTTTCCGGCCGAAAAAATTTACGTGCCCTTCTAGAATCCAGCGGCTCATTTCACTAAAGAACAATATTTAAACTGCATAAAACATTCGAATTACAGTGAAACCCACGTATATCAGATTTCAAGGGACCGGAAAAAAATCCGAATTATGTGGGTCCGATATTCGTGGGTTTCACTGTATCCATAAATAATGCGAAATAAAAATAGAGGGTGAGTATTTGAATTAAAAACTGTTAAATATGATGAGAGGCACAACTCCCCATTTTCTATACATCTAATGTTTATGTGAATTTTTTTTGTACGTCGAAAAATTATTAATGATAGCTAATTTTTATGCACTAAACATTGTGACCACTTTGAAAAAATTAGTGGAAATGACCCATACATAAAGAGTTGGAAAATCAAAACACACCAAAAATGCTTCCAAAGATGACGAGTACCATACTCATGCAGGTAAGTCCAATAGTGCCAAAGTGGTCCCTTTTCATGCGGGCGTACACATAATTTTTTTTTAACAAATGAATGTTTTAGGCCAATTTTTTTACAACAACTGACAAACGTCAGTTTATTAATAATAAAATATAATTTTTTGTCAACATTTTGGCCCGTTAAAAAAGTAAAGCAAATTTGACTTTTGTTACATATATTTCGATTCATTTTTGTAATTAAATTTAAATAGTTTGAAAGGAAACTTTAGTATCTTAAATATTTTTAGAGATACGATGAGAAATATAGGTATACCACAAACAACGATTCTGGCAAATAAATGAAAGCTTAGAAATTTTTACTTGAAACAATAATTTTGTTAATGAAATTAATATTTTTATTATAATTACATAAGGTAGGGGGACACTTTTCCCTGGTGAAAATTTTGGTTACCTTTTAAGATTCACCTTTAACTTTCAATTGCAACTACTTTTAAATTGAATTATTCCTATTAAATACAAATAATTATAATATTATTTATGAACATTTTTAACTCAATTTCTGTAAATTTTATTATTTTCAAAAATTTAATTAATTTCTTTAATTTACTGATTTTAGTCACACAAAATTTTAAATAAATAAATAAATATATAAAAACGTTTTTTAATCCCCGCCAGTATATATATACAGCAATTCACTTAATTCTTACTTAACAGAATTAAAGTGGGAATTTCCTGAAAATAGTCTTTTGATAAATGTAATACATTTAATAATAATTTTTTTTAAATCAGTTACTTTATCTTGACGCATTGTTGATACAATTTTTGTGTTAAAATTTGAAAATATCCGAATTGCATGTTATACAAAATAAAGTATTTTTGGTAATCTATTGAACACTAGAAAATTTTAGTTATCTAATTAATAAGTATAAATTAAATTTTTCAAAGTGACTCAGATCATATTACAGTCATCAGAAAAAATTATTGTAGTCGCCGTAGCTGAGGTGCGTAAATACCTGCCGAAGTAATTGCGCTTAATGGGTTTTTCCGTTGACCAGGTAGTCACCGGCGTTCAAACCCAGTTGAATGTGAGCAACGAGCGATATTTTTTTTCCATGATATTTAAATTTTTTTTTTATTTAAAGGTATTTCAAAAATATATTTTACTCACAACTAAGTAATTGTTTTATTATTTTGAATTTATCACTCGACAGCACTTAATAATAAAAATGATGATATCGATCAATCCGAGTCAAAATGATAAAATGAAAAAAAAACTATTTTTTACATTTCAACGACACAGCCGTCCTCTTCAGAAAATTAAAAAAATAATCAACATTTAAAAAAAATTAAATAAATAAGACATTGAAAATTCAAAAATGATATCCGGTTTTACGTAAAATTACGGTTTGTAATATAATCAATCATTTTTATAAATGAAGGTTTTTTTATAATGAATCTTAGATATTTATAATCGTTAATCATCACAGTAGATTGTAAATTTTTATGCCCTAAATGTGAGTTGATTAAATTGCGAAATTTTTAAGATATAAAATTTTATATTTTCTGAAGTATTATGTTCAATTTTACAAAGTTCTACTAAAATTCTAATTATATTCTATATCTACTCTTGATTGTTTTCTCATCGAAATATGTATTATATTTTTTCCACTTTGGTCTTTCCCAAGGCTCTCTTTTAAGATCACTCCTTGGTTTCAAATTAGGCATTAAACCTGAAACAAACATACATTTTAATTACTAAAATACATCAAGAAGAACTTTATTAGAAATTTTAGTTTAATCGTGAATGACGAAAAAAAAACCTCTAATTTTACAGTAACGTAATAAATGAATATACTGCACCATGTTAATGATAGATCATAGGTTTAAATTTTATTTATTTATTAATTTTTATTTACAAGTATATGGACTATAAAGAAAAAAAGAATGCTCTTTCGTACAAAGAATTTGAAATTAATATAAATAAAATTGAAAAAATTTGAATCTATTTTAAAATCTCAAAGCTTCAGCAAAAGTTAAGAATTATAAAAGTTTACAAATAAAATAAAAATATGTAACAGTAAAATCAATCAATTTTTAAATTACAGGGTGGCCACCACTATTTTTAGACTTTTCGTCTCTCGGTAAAAATCTCTCGGTAAGCGATTTCTCCCGGTTTTTAGTTACAATTGAGCTGTTCGGAAGAAGAACTCGCTCTTCGCTCGGAAGGGACAATTTCATAGCAGTTGTAGACATAAAAATAGGAAAAAAAAAATTTCAAAATTTTTATTTTTAAAAAGTACTACCTTGTATAAAATATTAAAGCGCATCTTTTTTTTCTTTGAAATTTTTTTGTAGAGCGAATATTTTAGTTAATAATAACAAAAAACTGACAAATTTTAATTCTTAAATTTCATTCAATTTTAAAACATAAATTGTCATATCTTCGACAATTATTAATAAAATTACTTTAGAATTGATATCCTAACACATTGAAGTATAGAGAAAAGGATAACATAATAAGAATGTTCGAAATCATCATTTGTTTAATAATTTTTAATTGTTATTTAAGGGCATATTGATAATCATGTTTTCTTACCTTTGCCGACAAAAAGTCTGCGGGGAAGTTCCGAGTTTCAAGAACTTCCAGTGAGACATTTGTTTATCAATGTGTAATAAAGTTTTTTGTAAAGTTACAAAACGATTTATTAAATAGTTTAAAAAATATTGAAGTTTTAAAGAAACGCGTGCAGCCGCATATCACATCGCCACGTAGAGTAGAGTCTTATTACGCTCTCAGGGCGTGAAAACATCATCTTCCCATTACTTTTCAATAATATTATTTGTTATTTTCATAATATTGTTAATTAAATTGTTATAAATTATGAACAATTAATAAAAAATTAATTAACAACATTATTAAAAATAATTAAAAAAAATTTTAAATATGTATATATTGTATCTAAATTTTTATTAAATATATTATATTATTAAATAATTTAAAATTTTATTACAATTAAATAACAAATTTATTAGTAATAATTATTAAAGATGAGGGATAAAGAGCGTAAAATTATTACTATTACTATTTTATTTTATTTTGATTTTCTGCGTACACCTTCTCAAGGTTTTTACGCTCTTTATCCCCCATCTTTAATAATTATTACTAATAAATTTGTTATTTAATTGTAATAAAATTTTAAATTATTTAATAATATAATATATTTAATAAAAATTTAGATACAATATATACATATTTAAAATTTTTTTTAATTATTTTTAATAATGTTGTTAATTAATTTTTTATTAATTGTTCATAATTTATAACAATTTAATTAACAATATTATGAAAATAACAAATAATATTATTGAAAAGTAATGGGAAGATGATGTTTTCACGCCCTGAGAGCGTAATAAGACTCTACTCTACGTGGCGATGTGATATGCGGCTGCACGCGTTTCTTTAAAACTTCAATATTTTTTAAACTATTTAATAAATCGTTTTGTAACTTTACAAAAAACTTTATTACACATTAATAAACAAATGTCTCACTGGAAGTTCTTGAAACTCGGAACTTCCCCGCAGACTTTTTGTCGGCAAAGGTAAGAAAACATGATTATCAATATGCCCTTAAATAACAATTAAAAATTATTAAACAAATGATGATTTCGAACATTCTTATTATGTTATCCTTTTCTCTATACTTCAATGTGTTAGGATATCAATTCTAAAGTAATTTTATTAATAATTGTCGAAGATATGACAATTTATGTTTTAAAATTGAATGAAATTTAAGAATTAAAATTTGTCAGTTTTTTGTTATTATTAACTAAAATATTCGCTCTACAAAAAAATTTCAAAGAAAAAAAAGATGCGCTTTAATATTTTATACAAGGTAGTACTTTTTAAAAATAAAAATTTTGAAATTTTTTTTTTTCCTATTTTTATGCCTACAACTGCTATGAAATTGTCCCTTCCGAGCGAAGAGCGAGTTCTTCTTCCGAACAGCTCAATTTAACTGTGAGCAAAACATTACTTTCACGTAATATGCAATTGTAAATGATATAAATTGGTCCAAAAACACTATGAAAATTAATACATTTTGATTTCAAAGAACAATAGTTATGAAATAAAAATAACTACTTTTTATAAATCAAAGGGCTTCCATGCCAAACCAACGTCATATCGTTGACCTTAATCTCTTCGATTTAGTTCAAATTTTGTTTACCCTTTTGTACCCTTCAAAAAAGGTCTTCATGTTTTTTTCAAATTTTTTCATCATGCCACATTTATGAGATATAAATTTTACAAAATTGGAAAATTTTAATGATTTTTTATTTTTAAATTCTCATAATTTCTTTAAAAATTTGTCAGTTTAAAATTTTTTTTTCAAAATATGTGTTTTTTTAACTGAAATTTTCAAAAATTTCATCAAAAGAATTATAAAATTAAAATTTACTATATTTTTCATAATTTAAAAATTAAAATCTTGTTTCTAAAACTGCAATCAAATACTAAAATTAGCTGTAGATTATAGAAATAGCACTCCTATTAATGTGATGCTAACAGAATGCTGTGAATTCCCTTTGAGAACAAGATTTAATTTACAAGGAAAAAATATGCGTGGCTAGACGTTTCTCTACGTTAAGTATTTATGATTTTTAAGAAAAAAAACAACTGAAATAAAAGCAAAATGAATAAATAGAAAAATATTAACATAATTAAAATACATTTGCAAATAATGCAGTCAGCTGATAAAAAGTCGTTAAATTAATGATATATTAATTTTGCATATTTTATATAAGCATTCTAACCTGCTTTATGAGCCATAGCAACCAGTTTGCTCATTCTGACTTGCTGCACTTTGCACAAACCAGTAATTCTCTGTGGTAACATACAACCATCAGAGCGTACAAATTGGCTTAGAATCAACACATCCTGCAATAAATAATTTAATAAATACAGAAACACATCTTTAAGTATAGAAATTGTAATTCATAATTTACTTATTGTTTGTTATGGCCATATGTATGGCTAATTTTCATTGTACATAATCTAGCTGACAATCCTTGTACAAGATCTTCTACAAGAAAAGGTATATGGTCTTGCACTACTCTTGTGCAGGTTCATAATTATACATTTTCGTGTATCAGATTTAGAACATGTTCTTGTATATGTTCATTTATGGTTTTGTTTAGTAAAAATTAAAAAACTTTAATGGCTGCGCAGTAGTTTTCTTGAGCCTTTACAGCTGCGCAATAATTTTTAAAATGCGTAAATGAAGAGTCTTAGTTATTATAACTTATTAAAAACCAAAATATTTTTTTACAAATGTATTTGTACAAGAAGATGAACGTGTGAAAATGAAGTGGAAATGTCACTGCATTAGATTATATAAGAAAATACCTCTGCCGAGCATGCAGTACAGGACCACGATCGGGATCAAATTCAAGCACTTAAAAATTATTTCTACTTATAATTGATATTTTTTTTTATTTTATATACCCCTAAACACCTTTTAAAGGAAAAAAAATTTATTTGATTTTTTGAAAATTCTAGAGTGGATTCTACCTCTTAAGAATGACTAAATTTATTTTTATAAATTGATAAAAACAATTGAAGATAAGAAATAATAATAAATAAAATAAAATGCTTGGTCTGTCCTTCTGTCCTAACTTGAAGTTGGCCTTTTCTAATTTCACGTGTTTTTTTGAATAGTACAAGATAGTAATTTAAAAAAATTAATTTTTAAGGTACCAGGGGCCAACGAATACCTACTAAATATTAATTATAAAAATACAGGCCTCGAATCAACTTAAAGGCACAAAAAGTCGTTTCAGTCGATTTATATTCCAAAAAAAAAAGTAGATTTGTTTTTTATTTTAACAAAAATATTTTACAGATTTTTAAATAAAAATTTTTTTTTTAATAATAATCCTTTTCGAAGGGTTAAAGTTGAAATTTTTAGAAATAATTAAATTTCAAAAGATATTGTTAATTTTCAAACAATTATTAAATTTTACAGAACTAAAAATAATTTATCAAATAATTTTTGGAAAACATTTTTTAAATTTAATTGAATTTTCAAAGATTTAAAATTAAGATTTTTGAAATTAATTGAAACTTTAAGTTCTTTTTAACTAAAATTTTAGATGATTTCACTAAAAATTTATTTGAAAATGCGGACAAAATACAATAATTTGAAAATCATTTTTAATTGAAAAATGGTTTCAGATAGTTGAAATTTCAAAGAATATTATTAAAATAGTTAAAAAAATAATTGAATTTCCTTAGAGTTATAATTGAAATTATTAAATTTCAAAAAAAAAAAATTTTCGATGGAAAATTTTAGAAATAATTAAATTTTAGATGCTTTTAAATTCAAATGATTGAAAATTCAATTAATTTTGAATTCAAATTTTTGAGAATAATGAAATTTTATTTGATTTTAAATTTGGAAAATAATTGAATTTTAGTTCATTTTGAATTGAAAATTTTGGGAAATAATTGAATTTTAATTGAATTTTTGGATAATAATTTAATTGAAGTTCATTTTTGATTGAAAATTTGGATAATTAATTTTGAATAAAAATTTTAGAAAATAATTGAATTTTATTTCATTTTAAATTGAAAACTTGGTGAATAATAAAATTTTAAATTGAAAATTTTGGATAATTATTGGATTTTTAATTGATTTTGAATTAAAATTTCGGGTAATAATTCAATTTTAGTTTATTTTGAATTGAAATTTTTAAAAAATAATTCAATTTTATTGTGATATTTTTTTAAAATTATAAATAATTGTTAAATTTCATAAAAATTTTAATTGAAAAATAATTTTGATATAATTGAATTTGTGATGTATTTCATTAAAATTATTAAAAATAATTAATTTAGTGAAGAATCATTTTAGTTCAAAATTTGTTAAATGTGCGATTCCAAGTGAGATTTTGACTTTTTCGGAGTAGGTTAACCGATTGCAATGAAACTTTGGAATTTTGTTATATATAGTAAGACTAATCTTTAACGTAAATTTCAGCCTAAAATATTTGTTAGTTTACGAGATTTGCAATAATAACAAAAAATTTAAAACTGCTATATCTTCCGTTCTAATAAACGGATTGAGGTCTACTTTTTTTTAAAATGTCAAGGAAAATGAGAGGAATAAATCTCTTTCAGAACATTTTTTTATAATTTTACAACTAAAAAAATTATTAAATAATAATTGAATAACTTTCGCGCGACTAACTAAAATTCAATCACTTAAACGCTAAAATGATCTTACCTGTGTTTTCTTTAATGTTCCAAAGGATTTTTATTGTAAATGTAAGTTTAACTTAAGAAATTTTATTAATTTATTAGTATAAACAATTGAGATTTCTGCTAGTTGACGTGCAGACGACATTGCGCACGCAGCATTCTCACATAGCCAATTTAGTCCACGAATCACGTCAGTTGGCTATGTGAGAATGCTGCGTGCGCAATGTCGTCTGCACGTCAACTAGCAGAAATCTCAATTGTTTATACTAATAAATTAATAAAATTTCTTAAGTTAAACTTACATTTACAATAAAAATCCTTTGGAACATTAAAGAAAACACAGGTAAGATCATTTTAGCGTTTAAGTGATTGAATTTTAGTTAGTCGCGCGAAAGTTATTCAATTATTATTTAATAATTTTTTTAGTTGTAAAATTATAAAAAAATGTTCTGAAAGAGATTTATTCCTCTCATTTTCCTTGACATTTTAAAAAAAAGTAGACCTCAATCCGTTTATTAGAACGGAAGATATAGCAGTTTTAAATTTTTTGTTATTATTGCAAATCTCGTAAACTAACAAATATTTTAGGCTGAAATTTACGTTAAAGATTAGTCTTACTATATATAACAAAATTCCAAAGTTTCATTGCAATCGGTTAACCTACTCCGAAAAAGTCAAAATCTCACTTGGAATCGCACAAATAATTGAATTGAAGAAGATCTGAAGAAGATCTACATTTTATACTAGAAAAATGTATTTTATTTACATTTTTTTTCAAATGTAAAAAAAATGTCGCATTTTATTAAAATAAGTCGATAAAAAAGTCGCATTTTTGAAAAAAGTCGTATAATCCGAGGCCTGTAAACATATAATTTTCATTATTATCATTTAATATGTAATAATATTCTAATAAATTGAATTATTATTGATAATATTAATCTTTAATTTCTTTATAACAAACAATTAAATATTCAATTTGGCGCGCTTGCGCGCGTTTAATTTTGCTAGTAATAAATAAAATATGATTTTAAAATTCACCTGTGAAATAATCTAATTTTGCGAATTTTATCCACTAATTGAAAGAAAGGGAAATCATTAAATAAAATAAAAACTTACTAAATATAAAGTACTTGTGATTAACTTTTAATTTTACTTAGCATTTTTTTCTCTATTTTCTGAATAGAAATAAAAATTTTAGCAATTTGTTAATTTTCACGATTTTTAAACGTCAAAAAACTTTCTTATAAAAAAAAAAATCACGAAATTTAGGGAATATGTCAATGATCACTAAATACACGCACTCCAAAAGTTTCGCTTTGGAGACTTATCTTTAATTGCTTTTATCAATTTATAAAAATAGTCATTCTTAATAAATTCCAATATTTCTTTTACATTCTCATGGTAAATTATATGTTTTCTTTAATATTTTCTATTACGTGAATTTATTTATTTTACAATAAATAATAAAAATTTTAATAGAATTCTTTTTATTTCGTAATTTAGTTTCCTTTAAAATCATTCCTCCAAATTATTATAATTTTTTAAAATTAGTTGGCAACGATTTTAGTCGAAATATAATTTTTCATGACAAAATATAATTAAAAGCTGTGGTTCAAAACAAAGAGCATGGCATTTGAATCATTAAAATCAGTTGACAAATTTTTCTGAAATTAATTTTTTTTTTGCTTTAAAAGTTTAGTTGTTGATAATAAAACTTTTTTTTAAATTCTTTAGAACAGTGATTTTTTATATAAAACCATATTTTAACAAAAGATAAAAATTATTTGATTTTGAGTGACACGATTCAGAAATTCTTACTCAACTTCTTTCTAGAAAATTACTCACATGCAACTAAAATGAAATTATTAAGAAGTAACACTTCATTCTCGAATGGCACTAGTGACAAATTAAAGTAGGTTTATATAGTAATTTAATCCCCAAAGGATTTAAAAAAATTATCTCGCATTTCTTTTTTATGGGTTTTTGAAGTTATACTCATTTTTAAAAATATTTTTGTAATATTTTTAGTATCTATCGATTAATTATTAAATAGATCAATAAAGTATTAAATATTTTAGGTTTGAAAATTTGAAAATATAATATTTATTTGGTTTATGGTGATCATACAAATTTTTTAATTAAGTTTTCTGCATTTTTTCAACAATTTCCTTGTTTTTTGCTACCAAGTTTTGCAATGTAATAAGATTTCAGAAAAGAATACTAATTAATGTTCGCTTTATTCTATTTTTGTTATTTACATTGAAAGAAAATTGTTTGTAACAAGAATACATTAGAATAAAATTACATTACAAAACTTCGGATGAAATGAAAAAAAAATTGTGGTAAAATTCAGAAAATTACGACAAAAGGAGATTTCTTATAATCATAACGCATATAAATAAACATATTTCGATTTTTCATTAATTTTTTAAGTCTTAAAATGTGCAATACAATTTTTCTAAATCATAATTTGATCCAATTTTTAAAACTAAGCATCACAAAAATTAAACAAATCTTAGTTGCAACTTCCAAAGCCCATAAAAATAAAAATGGAGCTAATTTTTCGAAATCCTTTTTGGTGTTTAAATTAATATTAATATTAAGTCAGGAAAGAAACGATGACACAAAAATTGTTGCATTGTATAATGAATACGAATTATCGAGTTTTTTTACTGTACTTACTGTATGTTTGACATCTAAACCAGCAGAACAAATAGGGCAGGCACCGTTTTCATTCGTTTTCAAAAGTAAATGATCTTTGCTGTCGAGGACAATTTTACCCTCAATAGTGAGAACTTTTTCTTCCTTTTTTTCGACAACTGCAATAATTGAATATTTTATCAAGAGAAAAATACTCTATTAATTTAGTAAAAATAAAAATATTTACAATTTACTTTTAGATAAATTTTAAAAGTAACAGTTAATATTTATAAAACATTTTACTATATTGTTGGTTGAAATATATAAAGACATACTGTAAAAAACTTTTCTTTTAACTATTCATCAACAATTAATAATAAATATTTGCATTTATAATCGAAAAAGAAGATGGATGAATATAGAAAATATTTTTAAAATGTATATCAAATTAATTTTTTTAAAAGTACTCAAGGATGAATGTATTTGGCATTCTATTTAATTCAACGAACTTATACTTTTATTAACTGAACAAATAAATAGTAAGCAAAACGTATCAATTGTGTTAAATTAATAACTTATAACTTACTTTCTTTAATCCTAGTTATGCTTGAGAGGGAAAAATTTCTTTTACTTTCCTGTAACAAAGTATTTCTTCCAAATAATTTTATCATGCGATATATTGCTGACATATTAGATTGTTATCATTTAATAATTCAATATAATAAAATACTGCTCCTCTTAAATCACTTTAGGTTAAAATTTAAAATCAATTTTTCTTTCTCTCTCTAAAAATTAAATTTATAAACATGTGATGTTTTTATCCATTATTATTATTTTCGACCATTCGGCGAATTCCATGATTGGCTGGTTACACGTTCGTATAAAGAGGTCTCGAGTCTCTCGTGGTAGGGGCATTGGGATTACCGACCATGGTTTTTTCCAAAATGGTAGTTTCAAAACTTGCCACCGCAACTGAGGGCGCAACACGATAGAGGTGTATGGCCGTTCCGAATTGGGATTTTTGTCGCACTTTTGATAAAGTGTATTCCAGAAGTATGCACTTTATCAAAAGTGTACGGAAGCCTGTACAGCTCACGAGCGTCTCGGACACAAGTGGCAATATTTCGTACCACAAGTGTCTTCGAGTCCGTCCAACTTGTGGCACGTTCGCGTTAGTTCGTGCCACTTGTTGGTCGGCCTCCGAGACACGTGTGGAAAGTGGATTTTTTGAAGGTCTATTCACAGAAAAATAAAATAATTTTTAATGAAAAACGATATTATAATGGATTAAAACCAAAATTTATCGTAGAAAAATGCTGCTAAGCAGCATAATTATTAATCAAACATACATGCTAACCACATAAAATATAAATATAAAACAATTTAAAGGTGCTTATATACCTCAAATTTCGATCAGATGAACATTATTTCTGGACCGTGAAAATGCGTGAAAAGTCATTTTCACGGCGGGTATTTTTGAATTGTTTTAAACAAAAAATGTTTTTTTTAAGAAATATAATATTAAATAATTGTTTTAATATGTAAGAACACTTTAAAATAGTGATAAAAAGATGATTTGATTGAAAAATTTAGCAAATTTTGCTTTAAAACGTTTCTGCTACAAGAAAGTGTAAAATGACGATGTTTGTGAAATGGTTTGTACAGTGTACATGTGTACATGTTTCTTTCAGTTATTCGAAACAATTAGTTGAATTTAAATTTATTTGATAAACATTTCAACTTACCGATTTATTTTCAGCACTCATTATTTATTACAAGTTAAAAAGAAACGACATAACATAAACAAAACTCTGAGAGACACTCACAAGGAAGAAGCACTGTACAAACCATTTCACAAACATCGTCATTTTACACTTTCTTGTAGCAGAAAACGTTTTAAAGCAAAATTTGCTAAATTTTTTAATCAAATCATCTCTCTATCACTATTTTAAAGTGTTCTTACATATTAAAACAATTATTTAATATTATATTTCTTAAAAAAACATTTTTTGTTTAAAACAATTCAAAAATACCCGCCGTGAAAATGACTTTTCACGCATTTTCACGGTCCAGAAATAATGTTCATCTGATCGAAATTTGAGGTATATAAGCACCTTAAAGCAATTATTTGTGTGAATAAACCTTCAAAAAATCCACTTTCCACAAGTGTCTCAGAGTCCGTCCAACAAGTGGCATGAACTAACGCGAACGTGCCACAAGTTGGACGGACTCGAAGACACTTGTGGTACGAAATATTGCCACTTGTGTCCGAGACGCTCGTGAGCTTTACAGGCTTCCGTAAAAGTGCGCTGAAAATCCCAATTCATAAACGATCTATCGTTAAATTGTGTATTTTTCTTCAAAATTATCAACTCACCCTTTAAATTATGAATTCACCTTTAATGTACTTGTGACTGTACCCTAACGTATGAAGGATCATTGGAGAATGGCCTTTATTTTCGGCAACTTATCGATATATCGAATGCTTTTAATATCGTCTATATGCCGGCGTGTATTCAATAACAATTCCAAACACAAATTTGTGTGTGAACAATCAACCGTTAATGAAATAAAAATTTATTTTATAAAAATTATTTTATTACTTTCAAAATAATTTTAAAAACGTTGTAAAAAGAAAGGTGAACACTTGCTGTTTTGTAAGTATACATGACCTTTCACGAATACTTTTAAAACCTTAAGTTTAATATATGAATTAAGGTTATGTGTAGACAATGCGTCTACATATATTTAATTAATTTGAATTATAATAAAAGATTGACATATGTGTATGTTACGTGAAATATTACCACGTTACATTTAATTTTTTTAAAATATATTACACTATAAAAATGTCCGAGTAATTTTATAATGTCTGAAGTTAGAAAAATGTGACTATACTGGTCCCACAAAGAAAAGAAACATAACCTATTAGTTATTTTTTTATAACTTCTATACACGTGAATTTACAAGTTCCAATTGTTTCTGTAAAAAATATATTTTTTACTTTATTGCTAAGTTTAAAAGTATATTAATTTTTTAATGACATTTATTTTTTATCATTTATTTGATAAATCAAAAATAATATGTTCACAACGTGCTTTCGTAACCTTAAATTTTGCACATTTTTGAAAACGCTATTATTTAAAAACTATTTAACATAAGATATTATTACTTTACCAGAAACATAAATCAATTTATTCGGCACAAAGAAATTATAGAATTGTTAACAATTAATTTTATTTTCACAGGGTATCTAACGGTCAGGGAAGTCAGAGAATTTCTTCTATTTTCTGAAATTTTTTATGAATAAATTAAAGTAACTATTATTTACTGATTTTTTAAACTTGGAACAATTTATTAATTTTTTTCAGTGAAATATTTGGTTTTTTAGTATAAATAAAAATTATTTGATACAATTTTATTTCATCGGTTAAACTTCAAATAAAGTAAATTATTCATTAATACGAATAATTTATTATTAAATGCTAATACCCACTTTTAACTAATAAAAATTTTTACGGCGTCGAATCTTAAATTATCGAATTTCTATTTAGCAAATTTATATAATATGGATTTTATATTATGCAAAATTTTCATATCGAAGAATTTACAGTTAACTAAAATTCGATGTAAACGAAATTCTATTTAACAGAAGTCTTATAAAGCATTTTTTCTAGTACTTTTTTTAAATTTTAAGGGGAGTGACAACCTTCATTTTGAATCCTTTACATTTTAATGGTTGTAGGAAGATATCTTTTTTTCTTGCATCATTTGGGTCCTAAAAACATACAGGATGGTCAAAAAAAATAACATTTTAATTTTTGAGCATTTTAGAAATTAATTTCTTTAAAAAATTAATATTTTAAATATCTATCTTCTTTCTCAATTTTAACTATTTTTCATCGCTAATTTTTTTCCTCGCTTTATTAATAATTCTTAAGAATCTCTCGCATGGAATTTCAAAAATTTTAATTTTTTTAAAAAAAGAAAGAAAAATATGAGTTAAAACATCATTGCACTCTTCTATTAAATATGCACTGAGGAAACTGTTTGGTTTCATCTACTGAAGTTTGGTTCTCCAAACCAAATTTTTTATTTGATATATGTGCAACTAATCCGTTTGGTTAGGGCTACTAAATTTTTTCGTTGAATCATTTGGTTCAGTCTACCAAATTTTTTGTTTTGCACAACTAACTTATTGTTTTTAAGCAAACAAAAAATTTAGTTAAATGAAAAAAATTTTTTCTTTTCTCAACCAAATTATTTTTTGGCTCACACTTATATTTTTTATTTTTCACTTAATTTTATCACTTTTGTTATCCTCTTTTATTTCCCGAAAACACTTGAATAAAACTGGACGACACGAAGAGCGAAGCATGGTTAACGTGTGACATCCGTAAACAGAGAAATAAGCCATATTTACGAGAACAGCGCATGCGCAATTGAGCATTCAGACGGTTTGGTTTGGAGAACCAAATTATTCAGTTAACAGACGCAAAAGCTTGAACGAAATTTTTGGTACAGCCAACTAAATTTCTCGATTGATTGCTTCTTTCGTTACTGTTATGTCAACTAAATTTTTCTAATCTTAACTAAAAGTGCTCCACCAAATTATTTTATTAACATTACATTATTATTTTTCTCAGTGTGTATGTATCTTCTTTCACAATTTGAATTATTTTTCATCGTCAAATTTTTTCCACACTTTTTTAATGATTCTTTAGAATCTCTCGTATGGATTTTCAAAAATATTAATTTTTTCAAAAAATAAAAATTCTAAAATGGTCAAAAATTAAAATTTAATTTTTTTGACCATCTTATATGTTTTTAGGAGCCAAATGATGCAAGAAAAAAATATAACCTCGTTTAATAATTTTAATTTAAATTGGTCAAAATAAAAAAAAAATTTCCAAGAAAGCGTTGAAAAGGTGATGAAATAAGCTTTCAAATGCCGTATCCAGAATTAAATTCTGATCATTTCTTCACAAACTGTATCAATTTGAAATTTACAAAAAAATGGAAATTTTTTTTCATTTTAAACAATAAACAATGAAAAAACTTTTTGTTTAATTTTCTCTTTTGTATCGTTCAAGTCAAAGATATAAGAGCAATTCCATGGGATTTGATCACAAGAATTTTTGATGATTGGAGCAATTTCATTGAAACCTTGTGAATATGTTCATTTATTTGTACAGAATGAAAGCCCACAAACAATTTTTCAAAATTTTTTGAGATATCTCTAATTAAAAATTTATGTCATTTAAAAAAAAAAACATGTAACTTTTTTTCATGTTATCCAAATGAGATCAATTTTTTTTCAAATTTCTCACAAAAAGATACTATTTTAAGAAAAAAATAGTTCATGAAAAAAAAAATTTTTTTGCCAGGAAAAAATACAAAAAAAGTTTTGAATTCATTTTTTGTAAAAACTACCTCTTCGATTTAAAAAATTTTTTTTTCTACTTATTGCCTATGATGTTAAGAATAACTTCTCTAATTTTCATAATGGGGCAGCAAGAACTTTGCCAGAAAAAAATTAAAACGTCCCGTGCGGCGCGGCGGGACGCGCGCATCTTAGTTTTCACGTCCATTATGTACAATGGAAACTTGCAAACATCTCGAAAAGTACGAATTTTCGTAAAAAATGTTCAAGACAAAAGTTGTTCCAAACAAAAAGATCTACATCTTTGAAATCAAAAAATTGGGCCCGGGGCCCAATGTTGGACCATACAATGAAAAAAGTGGTTTTCTTAAATGAGACCACTAATTTTCAGTATCAAATTCGTAATCCCTATAAAATTCTGCGTTCAGACATGTTGTATAAGTGCCCAAAATATTAGTCCCAATGTCAGGGATTGGGCCCAACATTTTTTGACAAACAAATAGATTTAAAAAAATCTCATCTCGTCCCAATGTGAGACCCACAGTAAAAAAAATTAGTTTCCATCCATTTCGTAACCATTATGAAATTCTGGGCTTAGACTTGTGGTACAAATTCCAAAAATATTGGGCCCAATCCCAGACATTTGGCCCCATATTTTTGGCATTTGTACTACAAGTCTTAACCCAGAATTTCATAACGATTACGAAATGGACACTGGAAATTAGTGGGTTTTATTTAAGAAAAATAATTTCATTTCTGTGGGCCTCACATTGTGCCGTGGAATCTTACATTGGGCTCTGTGCCCAATTTGAAAATTGGCTTCAAATTTCTAATCTTGTGACCCCAAAAAACCCCCCAAGATATGATTTTTTAAAATTTATTTATTTGTTTGTCAAAAACTGTTGGGCCCAATCCCAGACATTGGGACTAATATTTTGGGCACTTATACAACATGTCTGAACGCAGAATTTTATAGGGATTACGAATTTGATACTGAAAATGAGTGGTCTCATTTAAGAAAACCACTTTTTTCATTGTATGGCCCAACATTGGGCCCTGGGGCCAATTTTTTGATTTCAAAGATGTAGATCTTTTTGTTTCGAACAACTTTTGTCTTGAACATTTTTTACGAAAATTCGTACTTTTCGAGATGTTTGCAAGTTTCCATAGTATACAGAAAGATTATTTGACTATGAATCACCCCCAATATAATGTTAAAGTTTATGAAGACTTTAGTATATTTTACTTTAGAACTATGCAACCCGGTTTACAGAGAAGTTTGAAAAAAACATTGAACAGGAGTCATTTTTAAATTTGCCGCTTGAAATTGGATGCGCGCGATGATTTAAGTCATCACGTGATAGCAGAAAAGGCAAGTTGGAAACCATTTTGTTTATACGAAATCAAAACATAACCCCAAATAATCATCGTATTTGACATTATTAATAAAAAATAAATAGAAATAAAAAATAAATAGTCATTAAAAGATTCTAATAATGATAAAAAAGTTAAAATAAAAATTTAGTGAAAAAGTGTTTGGCAATTTTATCTACATAGTGTGATGTGGAAGAGAAATATTATGTGTCTGAAACAATGTTTGTCGGAATTATTTATTGAAAATAAAATTTTTAATTGAAAAATGGATAAACTCTGAAGAATTTGATTGTTTAATTATTCATCTGTTTTCAGTTTTTTTGTGAAACATTTTTTTAATAATGACAATAACAATAAGCAAAAAAACTTTCAAAGTAAAGTGACGAAAGGGAAGATATATTATAACAAACTGAATTATCTCTAACAGAATGCCTACCAGAAGTTGATGTTAAATCTTCATCAATATTTATCTGCCGTGCTATCGTTTCTGTGAATTGTAAAATAAAAGGAATATATTAATTATGTATATCTTGGTTAAAGTAACGTTTCTTGTTATTTCTTACGAAAAGCGATATTTTCATCTATATATTTTATTTCTCTTAATATTGTCTGTAGATTTTAATATTATTTTAAATAAAAAAGAAAGTAATGAATATAAAACAGTTAAGAAAATTTATATGTAATAAATTTATGAAGACAATATTAAATAAGATTTATACCTTTTTCTATATTTTTTTTCAATTTCTTGGCCGCATTGCAATAAATGTCCGTGGATTCATTGGAATCACTGTCTCCTAAGAAATTCAATAACATTTAATGACACAATTATATTATGTAATTTCTGATTAGTAAATTGAATTTAATTTCTTATTTTTCAAATAATTGTAAGACTACTGTAAT